GTGCATACGCGCTTACTATAACCCGATAGAATTATTGAGTATATATACGTCTGAAAAAAAAAAAATTTCTTTTGAAATGATAAGAGAATCTTTTTCTGAAGGTAGTGAAGCCAAAAGTACAAATTAGATGGAAAATTGATGAAATTACGCTTTTGCAAATTTTATGTCAGCTGTATTTATGCACTGGCGATTTTCTCGGTAAATACTGACCCTAAAAATGTGCTCTTCATTTTAAAAGAAAAAAAACACTATTTTTTTATTTTTCAAAATATTCAGAGTGCCACGCAAGTGAACGTAGATCTATGTTTGGACAGTTTAGGGGTTAAAAAGCAAAGAAGGGATGTAACATTGGAAAATGATGTTTTACCTTAAGTCTTTATGGGAGGGGATTCCCCTTCTAAACAATACTACACCTCTATCCTCTCCCCTCCTCCTGTCTCATCATTCATCAGTAAGTCTTCAGTAAAGGTAAGTGTCATTTTACTAATATGTTACTCATCATGTCTCATTGTTTTCTGTGTAGGGAAATGTATATTTCATGTAAAAAAATTATTTTGTTTAATACTCTTGGGTGTCTGGAACAGATTAATTGGATTTCCATTATTTTTCATGGGGAAAATTAATTCGGAATAAGTCAGATTCAGGATAAGTCGCTCTCTATGGAACAGATTAATTTCGTAATCCAGGGCTTCACTGTACATATAATGAGTGGAAATGGGAGGTGGTGGTTGGTAGAGATTGTGTTTGTGGACATTGTGAGGCATTAGTGAGAGAAAGACTTTTGCAGTGAAAGGGGGTGGTGGGAGATACTTGTCTATCTGGCAGTATCAATCAGAAGTGTGTGTAGCAGTGGTTAAGGTAGTCACTAAGACGGGTTGCTGTGGGGACTTGGTACTGTACCAAAGCTAAGGGTGAGGTTGGTAATTGTACACACTGCACATTAACCCTTTCAGGGTTTCTGACATACTAGTACGGCTTATGCACCAGGGTTATTGACATACTAGAATTCTAGTGCCTTCAAATCTAGCAAGAGAAAGCTGGTAGGCCTACATATGAAAGAATGGGTCTATGGGGTCAGTGTGTGCAGTATAAAAAAAATCCTGCAGCACACAGTGTGTAATGAAAAAAAAAAAACTTTGACAGTGTTTTTGGATTAAAACAGTGACTGCACTGTGTTTTTGTATGGTATTTATGATTGTATTCAAGTTTTCCTGGTCTCATTTTATAGAATGGAAGACATACTACCGAAATTGAGATGATTTTGATTGGTTTCACAATGAAAAGTTCCTTGAAATTGAGCTCAAAGTAGCAGAAATGTTCGATTTTTACCAAAGTTCAAAAGTAAACAAATCATGCTAAGCATCCAATACACGTCAACTGGTGAGTCTAATATTCTTTCACAAGTGCGCTGATATTATTTATACCATTTCTACACTAATGCAGTAGTCTGCATAACAGTAAATCTTTTATTTTTTGTGAGAATAAAAATTCGAAGTGGAAAGCAAAAGAAATGTAAGAGGGGTCTGGGGACATGACTAACGAACAGAGAACTTGTTATTTTAGTGCCAGGAATGTCTGTCTTGTTTATTCTGGACCCTATTTGGAAATTTGCATCTGAAATTTGTGTGAAATTGGCAAAATTGCCAATTTCTAACCACTTTATTGGATAGTTGAAATTGGTAAATGGGTGGTTTCTTGTACTCATTCGATAGAAAAAATGGAGTTCTAGCAAAATAAATATAATTTATGTCGACTAGTACACAGGAATTGGCCGAAAATAGGGCTCAAAGTGGGCGAAATCGCCAATGCGTAAACATCGTTGAGACCACTAATTTTGCGAGAGCATAATTCCGAAAGGTTTCCATCAAATTTCATACTCTTGGCGTCATTATGATTGTGAAAAGATTCTCTATCATTTCATAAGAATTTTTTTTTTCTTTTTTTTTTTTCCGAAAAATTTTCAACCCTGAGAACGAGTTTAGTAGAGGGCCTCTCGGCCCTGAAAGGGTTAATGCTACTGGCTATGGGATTATCTACTTTTTTTTTTTTAACTCTAGCCATCTCCTACCAAGGCAGGGTGACATATAAAGAAAAATGAATGTTTTTTTTTTTCAACAAACCAGCTGTATCTCACTGAGGCATGGTGACCTATGAAGAAAAATTAAAGTTTTTTTTTTTTTTTTTTTTTTTTTTTTTTACAAGTTGGCAGTCTCCCACTGAGGCAGGGTGACCCAAAAAGAAAGAAGATCCCCAAAAAGAAAATACTTTCATCATCATTCAACACTTTCACCTCACTCACACATAATCACTGTTTTTGCAGAGGTGTCCAGAGTACAACAGTTTAGAAGTATATACGTATAAAAATATACAATATATCCCTTCAAACTGCCAATATCTCAAACCCCTCTCTTAGAGTGTAGGCACTGTACTTCCCATTTCCAGGACTCAAGTCTGGTTATATAAAGAAACCAGTTTCCCTGAATCCCTTCACTAAATATTACCCTGCTCACACTCAACGGCTCATCAGGTCCCAAATACCATTTGTCTCCATTCACTCCTATCTAACACGCTCAGGCACGCTTGCTGGAAGTCCAAACCCCTTGCAGTAATTTATGCAGAAGAAGGGGTTACCTGCTATCTACCTCCTATCTACTTTTTGTGGTTTTTCGAAAATTCTTAATAGTATATTACAGTATACATGTACAGTGGACCCTTGAGTTTAGAATTTAATCCGTTCCAGGAGCTAGTTGTGAAGTCGAAATGTTTGAAAGTCGAACCAATATTTCCCATAAGAAATAATGGAAATACAATTAATCTGTTTCAGAAACCCCAAAAAAATCACACAAAAATATATTTTATATAGATTACATTATAGTTTTACATACACACAACAAACATACATAGTACAATTAGTAATAGATAAATAAACCTATAAAATAACATTTTTACTTACATTTATTGAAGATTGTTGATGACATCTGGAAGATAGGGAGGGGCACTTATTGTTTGGAAGGGGAATCCCCTTCCATAAAGACTTTAGGTAACACGTCCTTAACCCTTTCAGGATCGACAGGCCCTCTAGATGGCTGGTTGGCTGGCTGGCTAGATGGCTTGCTGGCTAGATGGCTGGCTGGCTGGCTGACTAGATGGCTGGCTGGCTGGCTAGATGGCTGGCTGGTTGGCTGGCTAGATGGCTGGCTGGTTGGCTGGCTAGATGGCTGGCTGGCTGGCTAGATGGCTGGCTGGCTGGCTAGATGGCTGGCTGGCTAGATGGCTGGCTGGCTGACTAGATGGCTGGCTAGATGGCTGGCTAGATGGCTGGCTGGCTGGCTAGATGGCTGGCTGGCTGGCTAGATGGCTGGCTGGCTGGCTAGATGGCTGGCTGGCTGGCTAGATGGCTGGCTGGCTGGCTGGCTAGATGGCTGGCTGGCTGGCTAGATGGCTGGCTGGCTGGCTAGATGGTGTGGCTGGCTAGATGGCTGGCTAGATGGCTGGCTGGCTGGCTAGATGGCTGGCTGGCTGGCTAGATGGCTGGCTGGCTGGCTGGCTAGATGGCTGGCTGGCTAAATGACTGGCTGGCTTGATGGCTGGCTGGCTGGCTAGATAGCTGGCTGGCTGGCTGGCTAGATGGCTGGCTGGCTGGCTAGATGGCTGGCTGGCTGGCTGGCTAGATGGCTGGCTGGCTGGCTAGATGGCTGGCTGGCTGGCTAGATGGCTGGCTGGCTGGCTAGATGGCTGGCTGGCTGGCTGGCTGGCTAGATGGCTGGCTGGCTGGCTGGCTAGATGGCTGGCTGGCTGGCTAGATGGCTGGCTGGCTAAATGACTGGCTGGCTTGATGGCTGGCTGGCTGGCTAGATAGCTGGCTGGCTAGATGGCTGGCTGGCTAGATGGCTGGCTGGCTGGCTGGCTGGCTGGCTGGCTGGCTGGCTGGCTGGCACTCATCACTAAACTAATGACAGTAGTAACATTTGATTAGCATCTTTCTTATCACTCCACTAATGATAGTGGTAACATTTGATGAGGGTACACTGCCTTCACTTTATTTGTTTTCACCTTACACATAAACATGTCTGTCTGTCTGCTTGCCTCTCTCTCTGACTCAGAACCAACATGTATTACACACGACACAGTAGTCACTACGTCACATCCGAGACCTGATACATATTATTTGCCAGACTGGATTTTTTGGGTTATCCTAGGTAATTTACACTAGGTATAATTGTATTTATGTATACCTGTAAGACAGATAGCCAGCCAGCCAGCCAGATAGCCAGATAACCAGCCAGCCAGATAGCCAGATAACCAGCCAGCCAGCCAGCCAGATAGCCACCACCACCACCACCACCACCACCACCATCCACCAATACCATCCACCAATACCTTCCACCAATACCATCCACCAATACCATCCACCACCACCACCACCGCTTATTTCACAGTCACACTTAATAAACAAGCACCAAACACAATGAATAAATTGTGAAATGTTTAAATGAGTGGCAGGTTAGTGTTCACTTAAGCATCAACAAAGCCATACTGACTTACAAGGGGATGAGGACAGAGTGGGCTGGCAGACAGGTCCGGTACCCGGTGGTTCAAAAGATGGGTAGAGTTCGATACTCAGAACAAAATTGGTTAGAACAAAGTGTTCTGAACTCCAAAAGTTCGATAATCGGTAGGCTTGTAACTCAAGGGTCCACTGTACTTATAGGAGGGCCCCGTTTTGCAGCATTTCACTAATGCAGCTGATTTCAATTATACCCATTCTTCATTTATTCAGACTTCCTTCATTAAATATATTCACCATTCACTATAAGCTAAGGATGAAAATATTTTAAAGTAAGTAATGTGTATACTGTATATGTGTTGTTTAGGCCTAGCTCTATTGCTCATTTAATACAGTATATATGATAGTAAAAACATGTTATCAGGCTTTTATATGCATTTGAAAATGCATATAAAAGCAAATGGTATATGGTTGATGGTCATTTTCCTTGCAGTGCCATGTGCCCAACAAGCCGCAGTGGAAGCAAAAACTGGCAATGTCGGGATTCATCTTGTTAAAAACACAAATCACAAGTTGGATGAAGTTGAAATAAATGAGAAAAGTGAGGGATGTAATCAAGATATTCAGGATCAGAAGAATAATCAGGTGAGTTGATATTCTGAATTTGTCTCCATGCCTCCTTTTACTTGGGTATCAAATGTAGCAGGTACCTGTTTGATTGTATCCCAGCACAAGTGTGTGCTGATCTAGTCCCTCCGCCAGTATTAAATCAACCAACAAAATCACTAGTTAAGTGAAAACCAGGTATATACATATATGTACCTTTCTTTTTAAAACAAGATGAAAAATAAAGTTCCTCAAATAAATGGTCTCCTTTTAGAAACATATGCAATGTTTGTCGATTTTACAGAAACCTATGTTAGAGATTTTTCGGACAGCATAGTCTGTATCCCTTTCTTTTTCTTTTTTTCACACATCAGCCATTTCCCACTAAGGCAGGGTGACCCATAAAGAAAGAAAAAAAAACTTTCATCATCATTCAACACTTTCACCATCACTCATACATTATCATTGTCTTTGCAGAGGCACTTAGATATGATAACTTAGACGTCCTTCCAAACTCCCATATCCCAAACCCCTTATTTAAAGCACAGGCATTGTACTTCCCATTTCCAGGACTCAAGTCCAGCTAACCGGTTTCCCTGAATCCCTTTACAAAATATTATCCTGCTCACATTCCAACAGCTCGTCAGATCCCAAAATCCATTTGTCTCCATTCACTCCTATCAAACACGCTCACGCACGCTTGTTGGAAAGTCCAAGTCCCTTGCCCACAAAACCTCCTTTACCCCCTCCCTCCAACCTTTTTGGGGACAACCCCACCCCACCTTCCTTCCTCTACAGATTTATATGCTCTCCAAGTAATTGTACTTTGTTCCATTCTCTCCAAACCAATTCACCTCAACAGCCCCTCTTCAGCCCTCTGACTAATACTTTTAGTAACTCCACACCTCCTAATTTCCACATTATGAATTCTCTGCATAATATTTACACCATACATTGCCCTTAGACAGGACATCTCCACTGCCTCCAGCCTCCTTCTCGCTGCAGCATTTACAGCCTATGCTTCACACCCATGTAAGAGTGTTGGTACCACTATACTTTTGTACATTCCCTTCTTTGCCCAACACACCGCTCACCTTTTTTCCTTCATCAGTTTTATGGTTAACTTCATCCTTCATAAACCCATCTGCTGACAAGTCAACTCCCAAATATCTGAAAACGTTCACTTCTTCATACTCCCTCCCTCCAATGTAATATCCAATTTTTCTTTATCTAAATCATTTGATACCCTCATCACCTTACTCTTATCGATGTTCACTTTCAATTTTCTATCTTTACACATCTTCCCTCGTTTTTCTTTTTGGGCCACCCTGCTTCAGTGGGATACGGCCAGTGCATTGAAAGAAGTACATAACCAGGAAAACCTTTGTATGGATTGAGGCATAAGCCTGTTGTAGACTGCAATTCCTCTGAGTTGTTTTGTATATTATACCATACTTTCATGAAGTTGAGAAGAGTAAATGCTACTTTAAAGGCCAAGATTTCACAAAAGAATGAGCTGGATCCAAATATTTAAGATATGTGTCATCCTCCATAAACCTGGCTGCTATGAAAATAGTGATAGAAGAAAGAGGTGAAACATATAACTAACCCCTTGGTGACAACACGAGTTGGGGAAGTAGTGGTAGAAGAGTGAAGTGAATGCAGCACTTAATATTGTAACATGTTCACCTTATTTTTAATTTACTGGCATTTCATTTATCATACACTTTTAATGGCTACTGTTGTACTTATTTTTTGTCTACTGGCAAAACTGTGTAACACTGTATTTTTTCTAGCTAAGCATACACAGACCATCTCTTGAACTTTCTGAAAATGTTTTGGCCAGACAACATAACAGAGAGAAGGCAGTCTCTCAGTTCATCCTTGCTTGAGGAAGAGGCTGGTTTCTTGGTACTGTACAAGAAAAACTACACCTCCAGCTGCTGTCAATTCACTACAGATCATATGGTAAGTTCTAGGTTATAAAAAATTTTTTGTTACTATAATGCCATGGTGAACAATGCATGTTAATGTCAATTTGCTGTATCTATTTATAGCAAGAGGAGCAGAGCTGAGCTCAAGGTGCCCCATCATCAGTATTTAACCTTGTACATTTTTTCAAGTTTCCTGTGGTCATAGCACTTAATACCTCCTCTTGTAAACCATTTCATTGTTCTACTACTATGAAGAATAACTTTCTAATATCCATTTGGCAGTTTTCTCTTTGTAGTCTAAAACTATAGCCTCCTGGTTTCTGTTGAGGGTGTTATGAGCCTTTATTATTAATTATTTCATATCCCATTTAATCTTATAACCTCTTTTCCTCCTATCAGTCAGCAGGGCTGTCATTTCTATGGTCTCTAACATGACAGCCAATGCCATTGTCAGTGTCTGTAAGGTTAATATTTCTTTTGTGTTCTTTAAATCTGTCACAAAGGAAGTGGCCTATTTCAACAGTGGATTGCAGAGGGCAAAAGGGAAAAGAAATAGAGTAAAATCCTGAAATATTAAACAATTACATTTATAGTGGTTGCAGAACTGGTAGTGTTTCTCCATGCTGTTGTATATACAGTGGACCCCCGCATAGCGAACTTAATCCGTGCAAGAGGGCTGGTCGTTATGCGAAATGTTCGCTATGCGAATTAATTTTCCCCATAAGAAATAATGGAAATAAAATTAATCCGTGCAAGACACCCAAAAGTATGAAAAAAAAATTTTTTTACCACAAAAAAATGTTAATTTTAGTACACACAAACTGAAAAAGGCATGCACAATTACATGACCCCTTAATTTTATTGAAGATCGGTGATGATTGATGGGATGGGAGGAGGGGAAGGCATTATCTTTTACTGTTTAGAAGGGGAAATCCCTTCCATTAGGGCTTGAGGTAGCAAGTCCTTTTCTGGGGTTACTTCCCTTCTTCTTTTAATGCCACTAGGACCAGCTTGAGAGTCACTGAAACCTCTTCCCCACACAAACTGTCCATAGAGCCCCTGTACCTCCCCGTTCCCTTCAAGACCCTTTTCCAAATGGCCATAAAACATTGTCATTGAAATAGTCACCAGCAAAGGCTTGCAACACTGTGTCAGGGTGTTTTCATCCATTTTTAAAGGTTTGCAGTTCAACCCACTTTGGGCAACATTTCCTTAATTTTTGAAGTGGCACAATGGATTTCCCCAACTGGCATAGGCCTTCTCAGGGTGCCCCAAACCCTTCAAAAATCTTTCTTAATTTTTCCCTACTAATTCACCCTTTTTACCCGGGTTTTGGGACTAGAACTTTTGGGGCCCCTGGTCACTTATTTTCCAGAAAACAACCGAAAACACTGTAATAATACGAAATATTCCGAGTGTATGCTTGAATGTTACCGCGGAGGCTAGCTGGTAAACAATGGGACGGGCGGCACATGTGAGGCTGGCTGAGGGCCCACATTGGACGCGTCTCGGACGAAGTTCGCTGAGCGGGTTTTTGTCTACTATGCGGGGCAAAATTTCAGCGAACAAAGCGTTCGCTATGCGGATTGTTCGCTATGCAAGGCGTTCGCTATGCGGGGGTCCACTGTATTACTAAAATATTTCTTGTCTTAAACTTATCTCTCTAGATAATCTTGTACTGAAACTTGTTTTTTTTTCTTGCAGATATTGAAGAAGAGGAACATGAATCATCTTCATACATTTTTATCACCAGTCATAGCTGTCAGAGAGTAGAACCTCGACAGTTTTCCTTTCATCTCTGACAAATATTTAACATAATATATGTCAGAAGTATTCCTTGTAAATAAACTAAAAAAACTTTTGAATCTTATATTACCAACCATATGATGACCTCTTTGACTATACATTAATATCTTTTCCCCCATCTTATGAGTGCAGATCTCAATTTTTTTTTTTTCTTTTAACACTGCCCATCTCCCAATGAGGTAGGGTTGACCTGAAAGAGAGAGGAAATGCTCACTTTACTTATTCAATCCCAGTCTTACTAGAAGAGTGTTGATATGACAGTTCAGATAGCCCTCTGAACTACAACACCTTCACCCTTCCTTTAGAATGCAGGCAATACTTCCCACCTCCAGGACTCAAGTCCAGCTAACCAAGTTTACCCTGACTAGCTTCATTAATTTTACCTTCCTCACAATCAACATGTATAGTCAAAAACACCACTTGCCTCCACGCACTCTTTTCTAAAACACAGACCTGTTAAATGTTCAAGCTCCTAGCACTCAAAACCTTTACTGCCTCTCTTGGGACAACCCCTGCCCCTCCTTCCCTCCACCCTAAGATAAGATAAGATAAGATTTCGTTCGGATTTTTAACCCCGGAGGGTTAGCCACCCAGGATAACCCAAGAAAGTCAGTGCGTCATCGAGGACTGTCTAACTTATTTCCATTGGGGTCCTTAATCTTGTCCCCCAGGATGCGACCCACACCAGTCGACTAACACCCAGGTACCTATTTGCTGCTAGGTGAACAGGACAACAGGTGTAAGGAAACATGTCAAATGTTTCCACCCGCCGGGAATCGAACCCGGGCCCTCCGTGTGTGAAGCGGGAGCTTTAGCCACCCTTTTAATATACTATTTTGCTCCAACCTCTTTAAATTTTCAATATTTTCTTGAAAAGATTAATGAAATGTAAAAAGAATACATACTGTAATTTATTCTATCTTCATTCTTAAAAAAATAAAGTTAGTATGGTTTTGACATTTAGCAAAAATCTGCCTCCTTTCCCCCACACATACAAAAAAAAAATTGTGATAATAAAATAATTTCACCCGTGTGTAAAACAGTCATTCTTTTATGTTGTTTGTGAAATTCATTGCATTTCTATCATTATTAATGGCTCTGTTTAATGATATAAATGAATAATTTACTTCCAAGATAATCAACAAAAATGAGCACACGCCGGGGGAAAAAAAATTGAGAAAATAGCTTTTTTCCAGTTTTATGGTGTATTATGAGTATATCATAGTTAGCCCTGTACTACACTCCATTTTCTCTAATACAAGTACCCAGGGGGGTATAAGAGGATGTAGGTTTATCCCCTATCCTCTTAGCGGTAACTTGATCTCTCCATCGGACTGCTTGGTATTATGTCATATTAGATCAATTGTGATAGGTAAATAAGCCGTAGTGTTGATATTAGCATCATAATGAATAATCCCCTGCCTCACGAGACTCGGGAATTCCTGCTGACATAAGCATATGTTCCCAGATGGTTCCGGATTGGCTCTCAGACTCTGTATTAGCTCCACCCACTCTGTTATGAAGCCAAATCATCAGTTATTATATTAGAAAGAATAATACAAGAAATAAATGAAAAAATCTGAAAAAAATGAAAATTGACAACGTGAGCAGGCACGCTATGGGTGGTGGCATCCATACATGTTATAAATGACTATAATTCCTTGTAGGAACATCATAGAACAATGATTCTTGGACCACTGTGTTGCCAAAGAGTTATTTTTTTTTTTTTTTTTTTTTTTTTTTTTTTTTTTTTTTTTTTTTTTTTATTAGCTCAATATCAGGGGAATTTAAACTAGCCTCATTCCTCAGATAAAACCTGAATTTCTCAGTTCCCAGGGATTTAGATTTTTCCACCAAAGTGGCTAGTTTATTGTGCACCCCATATCCATCCTGTGAATGGTAGCGCAAGAGCATATGGATACACAAAAGGCCAAGGGACTAGGCCCCAAAGGGTTAAGAGGAATACATATGGATTTATATCTCCATATCTATAGGAGGGGTTTGGGATATTGGCAGTTTGGAGGGATATGTTGTGTATCTTTATATGTGTATGCTTCTAGACTGTTGTATTCTGAGCACCTCTGCAAAAACAGTGATAATGTGCGAGTGTGGTGAAAGTGTTGAATGATGATGAAAGTATTTTCTTTTTGGGGATTTTCTTTCTTTCTTTTTGGGTCACCCTGCCTCGGTGGGAGATGGCCGACTTGTTGCAAAAAAAAAAAAAATCTATAGCAGTGCGGGGGTTGAAGAGGGTTGGAATAGCTTTAAAAATGCAGTATTAGAATGTGGGTCAGAAGTTTGTAATTATAGGAGGGTGGGTGCAGGAGGAAAGAGGAGTGATTGGTGGAATGATGAAGTAAAGGTTGTGATAAAAGAGAAAAAGTTAGCTTATGAGAGGTTTTTACAAAGCAGAAGTGTTATAAGAAGAGCTGAGTATATGGAGAGTAAAAGAAAGGTGAAGAGAGTGGTGAGAGAGTGCAAAAGGAGAGCAGATGATAGAGTGGGAGAGGCACTGTCAAGAAATTTTAATGAAAATAAGAAAAAATTTTGGAGTTAAACAAATTAAGAAAGCTTAGGGAAAATATGGATTTATCAGTTAAAAACAGAGTAGGGGAGTTAGTAGATGGGGAGAGGGAGGTTTTGGGTAGATGGCGGGAATATTTTGAGGAATATTTAAATGTCGACGAAGAAAGGGAGGCGGTAATTTCATGCACTGGACAGGGAGGTATACCATCTTTTAGTAGTGAAGAAGAACAGGATGTGAGTGTGGGGGAGGTGCATGAGGCATTACGTAGAATGAAAGGGGGTAAAGCAGCTGGAACTGACGGGATCATGACAGAAATGTTAAAAGCAGGGGGGGATATAGTGTTGGAGTGGTTGGTACTTTTGTTTAATAAATGTATGAAAGAGGGGAAGGTACCTAGGGATTCACAGAGAACATGTATAGTCCCTTTATATAAAGGGAAGGGGGACAAAAGAGATTGTAAAAATTATAGAGGAATATGTTTACTGAGTATACCAAGAAAAGTGTACGGTAGGGTTATAATTGAAAGAGTTAGAGGTAAGACAGAATGTGGGATTGCGGATGAGCAAGGAGGTTTTACAGTAAGTAGGGGATGTGTAGATGAAGTGTTTACATTGAAGCGTATATGTGAACAGTATTTAGATAAAGGTAGGGAAGTTTTTATTGCATTTATGGATTTAGAAAAGGCATATGATAGAGTGGATAGGGAAGCAATGTGGCAGATGTTGCAAGTACTTGTATATGGAATAGGTGGTAAGTTACTAAATGCTGTAAAGAGTCTTTATGAGGATAGTGAGGCTCAGGTTAGGATGTGTAGAAGAGAGGGAGACTACTTCCCGGTAAAAGTAGGTCTTAGACAGGGATGTGTAATGTCACCATGGTTGTTTAATATATTTATAGATGGGGTTGTGAAAGAAGTAAATGCTAGGGTGTTCGGGAGAGGGGTGGGATTAAATTATGGGGAATCAAATACAAAATGGAAATTGACACAGTTGCTTTTTGCTGATGATATTGTGCTTATGGGAGATTCTAAAGAAAAATTGCAAAGGTTTAGTGGACGAGTTTGGGAGTGTGTGTAAAGGTAGAAAGTTGAAAGTGAACATAGAAAACAGTAAGGTGATAAGGGTATCAAATGATTTAGATAAAGAAAAATTTGATATCAAATTGGGGAGGAGGAGTATGGAAGAAGTGAATGTTTTCAGATAACTTGGGAGTTGACGTGTCGGCGAATGGATTTATGAAGCATGAGGTTAATCATAGAATTGATGAAGGAAAAAAGGTGAGTGGTGCATTGAGGTATATGTGGAGACATAAAACATTATCTATGGAGGCAAAGAAGGGAATGTATGAAAGTATAGTAGTACCAACACTCTTATATGGGTGTGCAGCTTGGGTTGTGAATGTAGCAGCGAGGAGGCAGTGGAGATGTCCTGTGTAAGGGCAATGTGTGGTGTAAATATAAATATTATGCAGAAAATTCAAAGTGTGGAAATTAGAAGAAGGTGTGGAGTTAATAAAAGTATTAGTCAGAGGGCTGAAGAGGGGTTGTTGAGGTGGTTTGGTCATTTAGAGAGAATGGATCAAAATAGAATGACATGGAGAGCATTTAAATCTGTAGAGGAAGGAAGGCGGGGTAGGGGTCGTCCTCGAAAAGGTTGGAAGGAAGGGGTAAGGGAGGTTTTGTGGGCGAAGGGTTTGGACTTCCAGCAGACGTGCGTGAGCGTGTTCGATAGGAGTGAATGGAGACGAATGGTATTTGGGACCTGACGATCTGTTGTAGTGTGAGCAGGGTAATATTTAGTGAAGGGATTCAGGGAAACCAGTTATTTTATATAGCCTGACTTGAGTCCTGGAAATGGGAAGTACAATGCCCGCACTCTAAAGGAGGGGTTCGGGATATTGACAGTTTGGAGGGATATGTTGTGTATCTTTATACGTATATGCTTCTAAGCTGTTAGTGTTCTGAGCACCTCTGCAAAAACAGTGATTATGTGTGAAAGAATTGAATGATGATGAATGTATTTTTTTTTTGGGCCACCCTGCCTCGGTGGGAGATGGCCGACTTGTTGAAAAAAAAAAAAAATCTATAGTTCACTTATCTGTTACAAGCAAATTTAGGAAATTTGCTTAGTATATCTGGCATCTTATTTTCATTAATAAGTTATCTTGACATGTCACATAGGTTATTATACTGTCTATCTCTGTATTCCTCAATAAGTGGACAATTAAACACATATTGTTCAAGACAGTGACCATATGCCTGATCACATAATTTACGTTTAGTTTGATTATCATCTGTGTGTCTCCCAAACTGCCAGAAGTACTTGTAACCAAGCCTAAGCCTGGCCACTACAGCATCAGTCAGTCTGTTCACATTGCAAGATGCTCCATAAACATGCTTATCTATGTTCATGTTATCATAGTGAGTTATAGATCTACTCAGGCTTCTAACTGCATTCCTAAAACAATCATTTTCATTGTTTACTTCCCTCTTAATATTATTCCTAATGCTAGACACAGATATACCAAAGTTAT